CCCCCCCGCCCTGCCGTGCCAAGGGGAGACAGGGATGGTGCAGGTGGCTGGAGCAGAGTCGAGAGCAGGGAATTTCATCTCTCCCCCTCGTTTCACAGGACCTGAAGCAGCTGCAGTTTCTCCATCTGTCTGATAACCTGCTGGATTATATCCCAACACCCCTGCCCGAGAACCTGCGCTCCCTGCACCTCCAGGTGAGATGAGCCCAGACCTAGGCTTGGCTGTCCCCAAGCCCACCACTTTCTCCTCCACCTCTTCCTCCCCATCCCTTTGCATCTGATTTTTGCCCTTTGCCTCGTGGGCCAGAACAACAACATCCAGACCCTGCAGGAGGACACGTTCTGCAACAGCCAGGACCCCAGCCAGATCCGCAGGGCGCTGGAGGACATCCGCCTGGATGGCAACCCCATCAACCTCAGCCTCTTCCCCAATGCCTATTTCTGCCTGCCCCGCCTGCCCACAGGCCAATTCTTCTGAGCCCTACAGCCCCAATGCCAGGAAACCAGGGCAAACATTCCCAGACCCACCACGGCCCCACCCCAGACCCCTAGAATCCTGCTGCCCCATGGAACATGTGGAGTCGAGGCAGGTGCATTTAACTGGTGTGAGCCGAGTCCCTGTGCAGGGTGAACTCGGTCCTGGGGCAAACAGAGCAAGGGATGGGCAGCTTTAATAAAATGGAGACTGTAAAAATGCTTTCAGTGTCATGTTCTCAACAGTGAGAGCAGCAGAAAGCCCTCACTCAGCCCCACTCCAGCAGCTGCTGGGTGAGTGGTGTTGTTTGCAAAGACAGGGACTTCCCTGGGTCCCGTTTCTTCCTCAGCTCCCTCCAGGGAAGACCCCTCTGTGGCTGCTTTCAGGCTTTCCTGGCCAGGGACTGGGAGCTGCTCCAAAGAGGTGATGCTCTGGCCACATCAGGTTGGACCTGTGTGGTTGGGCTGTCCCCTCAGCTGTCCCCAGGTCCCTCAGGTGGGTCTGTGAGGCTCCTGACACTGTCCTGCTACCAACTGGGGTGTCCAGCATGAGCTCTGTCTGGAGGGAGGGTGTCCCTGGCTTTGGGTCTGCTTCAGCACAGAGGAAGCCTGGAGCAGCACTGGAACCTGTGCCAAGGGTCCCAGGACCAGCAGGGAAGAGTCACCTGGAGGCAGCTAAAACCCTTTGTATCATCCCAGCCTTTCAGCACCCAAAAATGACTGTCCAGTGGTGAGATATTTTAAATATAATGTATTCATCCTCTATATTTTTATAGACATGTATAAAAAACCACGCATACCATGAGGGGGATGACACATCCCTGGAGAATCCCAAATCCTGAGCTGAAACCACTGAGCTCAGCCCACACCCCCAGGCCCAGGGTGGCTGGAGAAAACCTTGTAGGAAGATCATTCCTCCTCATGGGCAGGCTGCAGTCCCCACTGGGTGCTTCTGCATGTGAGCCCTCTTGGCTGGCACAGAACCACAGCATCATTTTGGTTGGAAAAGACCTTTCAGATCATCAAGTCCAACCATTGACCCAACTCTACTGAGTGCACTGGCACAAGTGTGTCTGTGTGCTCCACCTCTCTCCCCTTGCCTCTCTTTACCATGCAAAAGCCAACTCAGGCCTGGATTATGTCCATCCAAAAGCCCTTGGTGAATGGGAATTTGGAGCTATTCCAGCCTTGCCTTTCAGGCTGAAGTTAAAGTGCCAGGATTTATTATCACTGTTGCCATGTCATCCTGGAAACAGCTCCATCCATCCATCCATCCATCCATCCATCCATCCATCCATCCATCCATCCCTCCCCTGCCCATCCATCCCCATCCACCCTTCTGACACCTCTGCCCCATCCCTCACCATCCTCCTGTGGGAGGAAGCACTGCTGGGAGCCAGGCTGGGCTCCAGCAGGATGGAGTGCCCAACTTTTCCCAACCTAGAGCTCCAGCCCTTCGCCTTCACCCCACTAGATGGCAAGGCAGAGTGTTTGGAAATGCCTGACCTTAACTTTGGGACTGCAAACTCACTCTCCTGCTGCTTCCCTCCCTTTTGGGGTGGTTGGAGCACCTCCCAGGCATGTCCAGGCAGCTGGGAAATAGCCCAGGTGTTGGTTGTTGGCAGGGAAGGGGTAAAAAGGAGCTTTAGGGGAGGGGAGAAGAGTTTGCTTCTTGTGGGAGGAGAGCTGGGTAGGTGGGGGGATGTTTCTGAGGGCTGTTTGCTTTGCACAAACCAAACTTTTCCTAGAGAAAAGGCTCTGGAGGAAACTTTGCTGGAGTAGAGCTGAAAATTGGTGCTGCTGGTTTGTGTTTTGTGGTTCCTGGGTCCCCTTGCACCCCTGGGGAGGAGGGAATGGGCTGGGGCAGCAGGTCTGTGCCTTCCCCAGAGTCCTGGAGGGGGCTGGGGGTGTGTTCGGGAAGGAGCTGCTGGGGGCTCAGCCCTGCTGCTCTGCAGATGCTGGTGTTGATGGTGCTTTTGTGTCCTCACTGCTGCTGGGGTGGGGGGAGAAACCAGCACCCATCCCTGCAGCAGGGGAAACCACAGCCAGTGGGGAAACCACAACCCCCTCCTGCTGCTGTCCCCGGGCTGCCCCCAAGGGGTTGGGTGGATCCTGCCTTGGAGCAAGTGGGAGGGTGCAGAGCCCTCCCTGGGGCTGGAGGTGCCAGTGGGTGTCCGAGAGGCTCTGCTGAGCCCTCCTGCCCGTGGGACAGCCCTGCCCCAGCTCAGCAGTGTGCCCCTGGCCCTGCCCCCCCTTCTGTCACCCCTGTGTCCCTTAGGAGGGGCTGGGCAGGTGACAGTCCTGGCTCTGCTCCAACCCCTGGTGGCTGCTCAGTTGATGTCCTGGTTTTTACCACCCCATTTGAAGGCATTTCTGGCTTTCCAGGCTGGCACAGCCTGTCCCAGGCAGAGGTGTGTGTGAGGGACTGTGCATCTCAGCTGAGACAGACATGGGGCTTCTGCCAGCCCAGCTGAGGGGCCAGCAGTGGAGCAGCAGCAGGGGAAGGAGTGGGGCAGCCAGAGAAGGGAATTGGTGCAGGGCCCGTGTTGGAAGCTGTGAGCTGAGCTGTGCAAAGGCAAAGCAGCTCTCTGATCTCAGAGCGTTTGCTGAGGAACAGCAGGAGCTGTGGGGCTTCAAAGTCACCTCTGATGGGAAATGGTGGCAGCCTGGTGGCTGGAGACAGTTAAATGATGTGAGATGGGGGAGCACCGGGGATGGATGAGACAAGTGGATGCTCCCAGACTGTTTTGTACGTGCAAGGAGCTGCACCCCCCTCATTACAGGGTGTGCAGGGATGCACAGGGAGAAGCAGACTAGCTCTGGGCACTGACCTTCCTCCTCTCCTCTTCTCTGGCTGGGTCCATGGCTGCCCTCTCCCCAGGCACACAGCAGGGTCTGTGGCAGCTGGGCAGGGGGCTCATGTCCTGCCTCTTCCCCTCCATCCCTCCTCCCTCACCCGGGGAGCATCTCAGTGTGTCATTCATGCAGCCCTTCTCCTGCTGTCTCTGCTGCTCAAGGTCACCTTCCTCTCCTGGGCTGGGTTCTCACATATTGATTGCTTGGCTCTAACTGCCAACGTCTCAGTGAGCTCCTGATCTCACGCCAGCTCAGCATCTTGTCACTCACCAGGAGAAGCATCTCCATATGGGCCCCCCCTCCTCCTCCATCCTGCCCTCTCCCTCCACATTCTCCTCCCAGCCCCGGCCACGCGTCATTAACCAGCACCAAAACAGAGACAGGGAAAGTCTTCAAGCCCTGGAGAACAGCAGCCTTCTCACACCTCTGTCTCCTGGGGAGCATGACATGAGCTTAGGTTGATTTAGGAGGAGCTGGGACAGTGTGTGGCATTCTTGCAGGGACTCAGTGTGCTGAGAGCTGCCTCCATCCTCTCCTGCTCAGTCTTGCTCCTGCAGGTCCCTGACCCCCAGCTCCTTTCCCATCACTGTGCCCATCCCTCTTCCTGCTGCCCCCTTCTCACCCAGATGTCTTCTCTGCTCTCCTCCTGCCAGCCTCCTGTCCTGGAGCTCTGCTGGGCCATGTCCCTTGGCTGCCAGCTGGGGACACAGCCATTCTTTTCTGTCCTTTTGCAGCTTCTCAGCCAGGGCAGAGCAGGCAGCTTAAAGTGGGGCTGGGGGGGGATGCAGGTCAGGAGCAGAGAGGTGGTGGCTTCAGTTTAAGAGCTGGTCCAGAAATCTGAGCAGCTGGAGGAGGAGAGTGGGGGTTTTACCCTCCCCAGGACCCAGGCAAGCTGGGAAGAGGCCACAGAAACAACACAGGTCTTGTTTGGGACAGTGGCTATGCCATCCCTGCCCCCCACCTGTGCTTGGGACAGGCAACCAGTGGATTTACTGGCCAAGTGCAAAATCAATGGCAGGATGGAAAAAGGCCACTGAGCTGTGGATGCTGACAAGCTCCTGGCCTCCTCCAGGCTAGAAATCACCCTGAAACGCTGCTGGGGAGGAAGTGCTGTGGCCCAACTTGCTCAGTGAGTGAGCAGGGATGATAACAGCTTTATTTATAGCACTTAACTGGCTCTTGGCTCAAGGCACTGATTTGTGCTTGTCCTGAGCCATCGCTCAGGGTGGCTGTTTGTGCTGCCCAGGGCTGGAGTGTTCCTGAAGCCACCAGTGAGCTCCAACCCCCCTGCAGCAGGGCAGGACTTTGCCTGGGTTTGCTGTGTCCCACCCTCTGTCCTCAACCCAGGCATCCAGCCCAGGCCCAGACTTCCCCAAACTGTCCAGAAACTCTTTTTCCTGCCTATTTTTATGCAGCATCTCATGTGGAGAAATCTTGTTTGGTGCCTCAGGGTCTGAGAGGTTGCACATCCCTAGTACTAATGGACTAATAAATTGTGGCCACCCGAGTAGGAGCAGTTTTGCTCCTCAGCTTCCAGCTCTGCCCTTCTTTTTTGGTTATTATTTTTTTAATTGTATATTTTTGTGAAGGATCCCAGTGCTGGGATTCATTAGATGGGAGCTGCAAGGGCTGTGGAGATGAAAGAGCTGCTCATCAATTACCAGTGGGGTGCAGACAGCTGCCCTGGTCCCTTCAGCAAAACTCAACAATGGAAATAGAGGAAGGGGAAAAAACAACAACAAAAAACCACCAAAAAACACAACCCAGGCACACACAAAACCTGTTTGGCCTTTTCCTCTCCCCGTTTTCCACTTCACCACTGGAAAAAGGAAGAGGAAAAACCCAGCAGAAGGAAGGGAAAGAAGAAAACACATGATTTCCTTCTTTGTTGCCCCCCCCTCCTCCAAATGGTGCTTGTTTAAGCATAAAAATAGTCTGTGGAAAAGCAGTGCCCTCCCTGCAGCCACCCATGGGTCTCCCAAGGGTTGGGGGTGCCTGCAGCACCCCAGGGCTTTCCCAGCTCTCCTGCTCCAGGACTCTTTGCCATGAGCTGCTCCAGGATGGGAGATGCCACCAGGATGCAGTTATTATTAGCAACGTTGCGTTCGGTCTTGTCAACAGGAGCCCTGATGGCTGGGAAAGGATCTG